TCATGGTCAACTTGTCGTCCACCATGACACCCAGGTCTTTCTCCGCGGAGCTGCTCTCCAGAAGGTCAGTCCCCAGCCTGGACTGGTGTCTGAGGTTATTCTTTCCCAGGTGCAGGACCTTGCACTTGGCCTTGTTGAATTGCATGAGGTTTTTCACTGCCCAGTTGTCCAGTCTGTCCAGGTCCCTCTGGATGGCAGCGCAGCCCTCTGGGGTATCAGCTACTCCTCCCAGTTTTGTGTCATCAGCAAACTTGCTGAGGGAGCACTCTGTGCCTTCATCCAGGTCATTGATGAATAAATTGAACAGGACTGGACCAAGGACTGACCCCTGGGGGACCCCGCTAGCCACAGGCCTCCAACTAGACTCTGCACTGCTGATCACCACTCTCTGGGCCCTGCCATCCAGCCAGTTCCTAATCCACCTCACTGTGCACTCATCTATCCCACCCTTCCGGAGCTTGCCCAGGAGGATGTTGTGAGGGACGGTGTAATTTAATTCAGAAGTATTAATTATATAGCTATATTCAGCTAAAAAGCTGAAATCCACAGTCCATCATTCCTGAGAGACAAACTGCTGCCTTTATCCAGCTGCCCTTTGTAATGAAATGTCCTGCCAATGTTTCGTTTAAATGTGCATTATCACCATACCATATCAATCTCACAATAACACGTGATACACCTGATGAGATGGCAAACAATGTATCATTATATGCAGTTAAAAATCTTTAAATCCAAATAAGAGAAAACAAACAGATGTAATTAATTTACTGTACTGAAGACAATATGGTGCATATAAATATCACCTACATAGTACATTGCAAATAGATGCAAACATTATGGTGGCTGAGAAGAATTTTTGCAAAAACACTGGTCCTCAATTCATATTAAATGTAAATTCCTGAAGGTGTGATGGAGAGTGAGTCTATAAGCACTCTTACGGGAGCAATCATGGAGTCTACTCAGTGAGAACAGGAGAAAATCTGGTGCACAGGCACTACCATCACCTCCAAAGGCACATGAGGTTTCTCTCTCCTCTACCAAAAGAGACCAGGTAAATTTGGAAGAAATAACTGCCAAGTTATTTGGTAGTTCCATTATTTCTGTGTAATGTTAGTGAATAAGCAATTTTTAGTATGTTGACAAGACTGACATAAAAGTAAATAATAATGTTAGGAACTCCCTTAGATACTATTCTTTTCTGTGTGGAGAAATGTCAAAAGAGGGAGAAAACTAAATTCCTAGCACTGTAATAATGAGTTCAAGTTTTAAATTAAATATATATTATAAATTATTATCTCTCAACATTTTTACTTCAAATGAAAATAATGTGTTTAATGAGTATCCATATGAGCTTCACTGGAGTCACATATTTATACCACTATATATACACATATATATACACACACATACAACACCATTCACACATAAATACCAACATAAAAAAGATGCTAAGGTCTCTCTAGCTTTCTGAACTAGCCTTTCATTAAAGAAAGCTCCAACTCTAGCTTTCTTTAATGAAGTTGTAAAAGAAAATGGAAATGAAAGCAAGTTAAACTGATAACCAGTGAAAAACCCACCCAACTACTAATTGCACCATAGTACAATTTATATATATATACACATGTATATATGAACTCTTTCTGTATAAACTTATAACCATAAAAAGGAATCTACTTTAAAGCTAACATAGCTCTCAGTGAGATATTACAGCATTAATGTGAAGAGCTGAAATTCAGTTCATAATTTCTCTTAAGTCAGTAGAATGTTATATGTTGTATATTTGTTGTATTAAAATTGAAAAAACAAAAATGAGAATATGAATATTAATCCCACCTTCAACAGGATATAGCTGAAGCAGGTGGCAAACACAAGAAATCGAGGCAGAAATGAGATAAGAAATGGATATAAAGTACTATTCTTCTCATAATCCAAATGCTGGATAGATTATGCTAATTTACAACGAAATTGCACTGTGGAACACTAGAATTCTGTAAATAGTATCTTCAGTATGCAATAAAACTAATTCAACTAATTTATCCAACTAAGCATGCTTTATTAAATAAACTTGAACTCTTAAAACATACTATGTTCTAACTGATCAGTTGTGCTGACTTGCCATATAGTTTATGAGGGTGAAGCAGTTTTCATAAGAAATTATGACTACATGATTCTGTGATTTTTCTTCTGAGAATTGACTCTCACCTTAGGAAAAATAGAAGAGGGAAATGATCACAGTTCTATGAAGTATCAAAATCTGGGTAATTGCTTTAAAATGTTCTTTATTTCTCTTCCTAAACTGTAGTTTTAAGTAACTTAGCACTCCATTCACTCCAGGGGAAGTGCAGTTCCATTTCTAAAACCAATAGATTCATGCTGTTTTTCTCCTAGTAAGTTTCCAGGTATTCTACTCGCATGTATGTACTCTCATACATACAGGATTTGATAGACTACAGATGCAGCATATACCTTTTCCTAGTTAATGACTTTCCTTACTTCTGACCTCAAATCACATTCAAGACGGTGACCCAAAGGTTAAAACATATTTAATGCTATGCCCACCTACAAATTTGACAAATTTTATCTACCCACAATACTCCTTAGTGAATCCACTCTCCACTCTTCCCTCTGGCACAGACTGACCACCTTCTATATGTTTACCTTTTTTAATGCTTTGGATGGGTGGAAAAAATGACAAACATCAGGAAAAGTTTTCTCTTTAATCAGGAAGATTTTTTTCCGACTATCCCATTTATCATAAAGCGATAGATATTTCCTTGCAGTATGTTTCTCCTGAGTCATGCTAGTACAACTAGCTGGTTGTATATGTAAGACATACATCAACCATTTGTCAACAGCAACATAAGCGAGGTGGAAGTGAATGCAAAAATGGGGAGATCACAGAGAATCTTGTATTACGACTGGAATTAAAAAGACTTGCAAAATGCCAAAAAAAATCCAAAGACTTTATATATTAGTAAAAATTTCTACCTGAGGGAAATAAGAATGTCTAATATCCACATTTGTTTCTTCAAGATGCAAACACATTCTCTTTATTGCCAGCAGTAACACAATACTTCACATATACACATGTTATAGCTGGCAACTAGTATATACCAGCTTTCATCAAGGTAAAGGCTGAACTGTTACAGTCAAACATACAGGTAGTTCTTTTTTAATCTCCAAGGAATTAGTGACTCCCAATTATTGAAAGGATATCAACATTATTTTCAGAATTAGTAAAACAAAAAGAGAAAATATTTAAAATGTTTAAAATACTTTGAATTACATTAGAATACTTCATTAAGAAATGCGCAAAAATATCTTTTAAAACTAAGAGCATCCTTCAAATACTTCTTTTATCCCACGAAAATACACTGTTTCTTCTGAAGGTTGGAAGATCTAATACTTTGTAGGAAACTCAGTCAACTGGCTGATCCCACAGATCTCACAGAAAATTCTGAAAAAAAACCCAGCTAAGTATTTTTGGACAGAACCTGTGAAAACAGCGCCTGTTTGTTAAAAAAAAGTTTTTTTTTTTTTCCTTTGGTTCTGAAGATAAAAAAGCTAATCACAACTAGGTATGTTCAATTCTTTTTTTTTTTCCAGAAACAACTAGCATATGGTTTATATGACAAATTCTAAGATTAAGAACACGCTCAAAAATTACCTTCTCAGAAACACTGGCATCTAGACCTGGCTTATTATGCAAGTCAAACTGAAATCTTCAGCATTAACCTATTTGATGCAGAGTTCTAGATCTCTCCTCCTCTCATACTACATTGTTTTGGCACTTCATTGAAATGGAACACTTACCTCTGCATATTTTGCCACTGAACTGGCTTCAACTGCATAGACTTTCCTAGCTCCAGCCTGCACTGCAAAACATGAAAGGATTCCTGATCCGCAGCCCACATCTAGAACCACCTTGAAAACAAAAGGCAGACCAAAAGGAACAAAATCATGAAAAGTCACTTCCTGACACCTGTTTTGACTACAAAAATTTCCACAGCTGAACTCTGAGTTTGATATACATGATACTATGCTTAAATGTTATAAATTACACTGTGAAAAAGTGAAAAGTTTCTTACTGATGAGTTTTAATGTCCTTAATCTTTATTTTAGCAGGAAAAGCTATATTTTTAAAAGACCGTTGATTCGCAGATATATGTAAATGTGTGGGGCATGGAGGAAATAGGATTTTATGCTGAAGTTTCTTCAGGAGAAAAATGTAAACACACTGTCCTTAGCCTGAACATCCTGCGGAGGGAAGGAAGACAAAACTATTAAGAATTCCTTGAAACTGTAAAAAACTGTGATATTCCTTGAAGAATTCCTTGAAGCTGTGATAAAAAAATAACTCCTTGATATGGAAATATAAAACAGAGCTATATGTTTGTTCAAATATTGTTTCTATTTGCTGACATCAATATTACATTTTTTTATGCTTATTCTGGATGCATCTGCTTCAGTCCCTCAATCATATTTAAATCCCAAGCCCCACTTTCCCTGTTGGCCAGACTGTTCACCTGTTGCAAGCCAAAATGTTGCCTGAAATGTTTTGAAGGGTCCAATCGGATTCAATCTGAGTCAAACCCACAACTTAAATATAATATGCATTCATAGTGAATACCACAGCTAAAAATACCATCAGTTTCCCCTACTCTCTGTCCCTATCACGCCCCAGTTTTCCATATGGTACATACTATTTACCAGCCTTTAAAAGGAGAGAGGGAAAAAAAAAAGCACACAAAATATTTTTGGCAGAAAAAATCATCTTTCAGAACTACGAGCCCATTCAATTCCCCAAAATTCACTCAACGTGACATGTAGGTTACTCACTACCGAATGGAGTTCAACACCCATGGTTTGAATCTGTTGTAAATCTGTATTACAGGACTCCTCCAGTGTGAAATAAATTAACATTGCTTCTGTTATTGCACATAGTTTCAATTTGGGCGTAGGAGCCAGAACCTTCCCTTTATTCATATTTTCTTTCCTAGTGAAAGATTTTATTAAGCTCATTTTTCAGATCACCAATGACAGACTGTCACAGATCCAGTTTTATTCTCAGCATTTTGGCAGGTATTAGAACATGCCCCCATGCCCAGAGGAACTAACTCTTCATAACAACAAGTGACAGCAAACGTTGGGTAAGAGAATAGGGAGGAAGAAAATAAAACCAGGCCAATTTCACTGAACCATAGATCTGACAGAAGGGCTGATAGACTATTTCTCAATGCCCAAGGGGAAACACAAATATTACAAAGATTTCTCTGTATATATGTGGAAGTTAAAAATAAGAGCCAACTGTTCAAATTTGGCGTTACAAATCTAGGGGAGAAGTTTTTGCGCTGGATCTGTTTCTGATACCATTTCTCATCTCACACCTATGTGAATGTCAGCAGGTGGTACAACTGAGTGAGAACGTTTCACGATAAAACGGGCAGCCGCTGAGGGGAGCTGCTAGGGCAAGAAGCTCTGGAGGACAGGAATGGACTGCAAGACATCCGGGAGGCTGAGAAAGTGATGGCCAGGATCCTCACGGGGACTTAAGAGGAAAAAGCCCAAGCCATGCAGTGCAAGGAAAGGAAACAGGCAAAGGGTGTGCAAATAAGTAGAGGACATAAGCTCCCAAGATGGAATGAGAATCAGCTGAGTCTGAAGCAACATTTACACCAACAGGAGGAGGGGACAATGTCACTAGAAACCCCTTCCTGCAGGGGATGGGGCACTCATCTGCTGATCTGACATGCTATCTTGGAAGGCTTCTTGTACACAAGGCCCCAGACTAGGAAGCTAGGAAAGGTATGCACAGTCCTCTGGCCCTTGGACTACTGATTATCAATTGCTCCTTATCCATGCAGACACCAATGATATTCTCTTGAATGCATCAAGGGTGACTGTAGAGTCTCTGAGGTTGAGAGTGAAGCCCATGGGACCACAGTACTATGGGACTCAATGGTGTCTCCTCAATCCTGCCCATGTGAGGGCAAGAAGGACTAATCTAACTTCTCCTGGACATCAGTGCCTGGCTGTGCAGGACTGCTATAACAGGAAGATAACAGACATAATTTGTAATACTGGAAATTCCAACAGATACATGAGGATGGTTAAGTAAGGTTAGCTTGCAGAGGCTGTGGAATCTCCATCCTCCATTCAAATCTCCATTCAAAATGCAGGTTTTGGACTAGATATGTCCAGAGATCCTTTCCAGCCTTAATTATTCTGTGGGTCAGTGAACTCTCAACAACAGAATTTGATCCCAAATGGCCCCAAATGGCACTGCTGCACCTCGTACAGAACAAGTTGCTTCCTCTCACCTCCCTCTTAGGAGCGTTTTAATAGAAATGTAAGATCATTCACTACAACAAAGTGCTGAGAAATATCAATACATGGAAATAGCATGTTCATTTCTAAAGAGAAAAAAATCTCTAAAGAGAATTTTAAGATAAAATAATAGACAGGTGGTTGAGTAATGATAGTATATGAAATGTAAATTTAGCTACTTCAGTATTTATCAGAAATCATACAGTTGAGAAGCACCAATGCCACATTCTTCTGATTACAGCTCCTGCACAGATGAGTAACTTTCCAAACGTGAACTTAATGAGAGCTACTCACATGTAGAAGTAGGTTTGCATGCCCGAGTGCTTGCAAAACTAGAGTCCTAAAAAGAATTTTTGAGTAAGAGGCGTGGAGGGAGTAGACCGAAGCAGCAACAGAGCAAAGCCATAAAACTAAAAGCAGAGAGTTTGAAATACCCAAAACCTATGATTACATTTATCATTCAGAATTATCATATATGACTAAGAATATACAGGGAAAATTTTACTATTATTATTATCATAGTTATTATTAAAAAACATGGTCCTCTGACTGTGCAATGTGAATGGTTAACTTCCCTGACCCTTTATCCAGAACCACTGGAGCAATTCTAATGCTAGTTTCTTTCCTTTTGAGCAAACTAGATTATTATTAAGCAAAAATAGATTATGAAAGAGGAAAACAAAAATAAAACCAAAAAAAATGAAACAAACAAAATCAGAGAAGGTTCTGGAATCTCAGACTTATTTTCAAAGAACTAGCAATGTACTCAGTTTGAAATTGCACTATGCAGTGCTACAGTACAATTTATTTTGAGGTCTTTTCTTCGATAAAACTAATTAAAACACTTTGAACTCACCCTATTGATGATATAAGAATTCAAAATACAGGAAAGTTTTACTCTGAAAAAATAATGAAATCTCTGAGGAAACTTCTAAGCAATCCATACAGAGGAGAATGTGACAGTAAGGATATACATACCACTCATACCAGTGTGAAAAGTCCAGCCTCAGACACATTACACTCTAAGTGGGTTCTCCTTATTCTTTTAAGTTCCCAGTGAAATAAATTGTCAGTCTCAGCAGATGGTCCTGAAATATCTTACTTTCAATAGAAATAATGTGTTTGAATGCATCACTGAGAACTCTCTCAAAGGATCTAGAATTAATTTCATTCACCTGCTGATCACCTGCTTCACTTTCTGATATATTTTTTTTTCAAAAGCAAAGAATAAGAAAAATATATATTTTAAGCCAAAAATCCATTTACTACTGTAAATTAAGCTTCTTTCTATTCAGGACTTTAGAGAAGCAGGCAGCAAAGGCAAAGACGTCTTTCTTTGGCAAAGAAGTATGCCAAAGAATAGTTAGGAAACAATCAGGCAAATGAAAACTCTTCCCATGACTGAAAATATAAAAATAATTGTGCCTCCTTTTCTCTCCAGATTTCCACCGTTAGACATTTGCCTACCTTACATTTTTATGAGTGAAAGATAAAATACAGTTGCAGTATTTCTAAAATAGCCAGCTAAAGTCTCAGCAGAATGGGATTCGGAGTTTCTCATGGGAAACTATTTTGCCACAAGGTATCGAGCTTAATATTCAACCACATTTCTTCAGAAAAAAATGCCATTTTGAAAAGGACTCAGGAAACAGAAAGATCATTTTCTAGGTGGGTGGCCAGCAACACCCAGACTGCAATAGTCTTACTATTAGGTATACTGAAGAGAAGCCAAAGAAGCTCCAACAGTTTGGAAAATAAATAAACCAAGAGCAAAAGCACACAGCTGTGCTGCTGCACAGCAGCTACACTGACTAAAGAAGGAAGGAATGTGCAAAGCATGAACTCCTTACCACAGGTACAAAAATGAAACAGATACATGTTACTAATAGACATAAATGCATTATAGCATGTGAGCAAGACCTGCTGATGACACAAAGTTACTCAAGAGAAGAGAGATCTAACAAAACTAGGTGACTGCACAATACTAAGATAAATTAAATTAATTTTTAGGAAATCTGTATTACTTGCATACTATTCAAGTTATCAATAGACAGATGCCTTTAGAGAAAAAAAAAGTTCAGATTGCAGAATATAGAAAATTCTGACTAAGATGTCGGAATTCTATAATACAAATCTGCTGTATTGCTTTACCTGCACCACTCTTGTCAATTTTTATAAAAATAGGTTCATTGGAATTGATGGTAGATCTGAAGAAGAATGATAGGAATGGTAAGGGAGCACAAACAATTTCTTGTTACAGAAGGAGACTGAGGGAACTGGGCATTCTGACCCCAGAAGAGAGATGAAAAGGCAACTAAGAAGACACGACAGAAATTCACACAGTGGAGGAATAATATAAGAAAGTCAGATGGGAAAATGAATCCTTTTTTGCCTCGTAACATAAAAGCAAAATGACAGAAGTGGAAAGCTGACAAACTCAGAATCTTATTAAAGAAGATTCATTTCCACATAATGTGCCATTATATTACATACCTATATAACAAAATCTATTGTTTTAAATCTTACTAAGGATGGAAAGAGATAGGACTGCACAGGAGGATGGCCCTGCCTATGGTCAGAAAAATCACTAGAGTTAATGTAACCAATTTCAATTGAAAAAAAATCAGAAAGTAAAAGACATACGAAATATATTAAGTCCTGTATATTAAGTCCAAACTACAACTGGCAAATGAGTGGGAGAGACATTATCCCACATTTGCTCAGTGTAAATTTTCTTTTATCTTTTTCTGAGATGTCTGGTCTGGAGAATGTAAGAGGCAAAGTATTAAATGAAGCAACAGAAATGGTTGTTATATTAATTATGGTAGTTTTTAAGATCTGTATATATTTATGCTGGAGATGAGTATATACACCTGAGCAAAAGTTCCTGCATTCTTTCCAACTCATTGGCACATACAAATGGAGTCACAGCAGTCAATTACATCTCACTCAGTCTATAACAACTGCAAGGTGGGAAAACATTTAGTGTAGACCTCAAAAAAAAAAAAAACATATTTGCAGGTATTTGCAAGAGGCTACGTGACACAATCTCAGTTACACAGCTGACAGTTAAAGAAACTCACAGAGGACAGGAGAGGAATTTGTTACTCATGTTTGGATCTATATTCTGGAACATGCATCCTAGGATATATAGTGTACCACCACCATCATGCATTGTCATCCGTGCATTTGAACATTACAAATACAAAACAAAAAACAAACCCATACAAGTTAGTATACTCACACACAGAGTCTCAGGTGAGAAAAGACTCAAGTATGATCAGTGCTGCTCAATGAGAAGTTTAAAGCCTAATCAGTACACCAAAATATTTAAAATTGTTAATAGAGCTCACCTTGTCTTGAAAATCGATGTGGTTTTGTAGGATAGCACTGTGATACGTGGCTGTCCTCACAAAATCCTGCATCATGTTCATTTGTTGAGATAGACAGCCATAAAACTAAAGAGGAGAAAAGGAAAATAGAGAGAAAAGATAAAGCACATCAATCTTTCTTTCTCTGAAGTTACCAAAAACCTGACAACGCATTGAACAAAATGGACTTCCTAAATAACCTGGTGACCAAGTCAGGAATATAACTGCAACTTAGATGCCACAAACTGACACTGAAGTTTCATTACCTGAAAATACTGAGAAGCAGATGAGTCATCTGTTCCCTGGCTGAACACAGAGTCTTTCTTTTGCTTACAGCATTTCTTCAATGCACTTGAAAATGTGCTGTATTCTGGGGGAAAAGAAAAACAAAAAAAACCCACAAATGTAGCAAAGCATTACTACCAGAGTAAAAACAGAATAAATGTTATGAAATGACAGGTGAGGAACACACTCATTAAGACTTCAGATACATGTTTCATTTAGTTTACATCGCATTTAGTTTACACAGAGTCAAGTTTCAAATTTCATTAAACTAAGAAGACCCGATACAAAGACCTGAACAGCATCTGCTTTCACGACTGGATATATGAAAAGCTTTTGCCAAGGATTCTCCCTTATGGTCAGTGAAATGGAATAGATATCTATGATGGAGAACTCTAGAGCCATGGCTGAAAATGAGCCTCAGCATACTGCTTTGGGTTGATCTTTGTTAATTCATGCTGAACACAGAGAACCATCTAGAAGCATTTGTGATGTATGGGTTTGAGCTAGGAGATGTACAGCCTAAAACTAACACAGGCTAACTGGCCTAAAAAGTCAGGCTGAAGACTATGCATCTTTAGAAGCAGTCTAACAAAGAAGAAGGTTCAGAGTAGAAATATTTCAGCTGATGCAGACGCAGTGGGTTTTGGTATTAGGCAACTAACAGGATAATTCAACCAGATAGCAGTGAGAAGCATATCTGGAATGAGAAATAGGAGAAAAATGTCAATGGGGGAAAATAGTATGATTGATAACAATTATGTAAAGGAGGAAAATCGTGTATCTTCTGCTCATATGAAGACAAGAGAAGACAAAAAAAAATCAAATTACACTATGCTAATAGTCAGAGACAGGAAACTCCTGCACCGGTCAGAGATTCAAATGCAAATAGCCAGTGCCTGAAGCATAAAAGTATGTACATTGGGAAGCACCTGTTAAGACTGTGAATGCTTTTGAAAAGCATAACTAATTAGTAAAATTAATGTATCAACACAGTAATCAAGGAAAAGAATCTCCTCCATTGTTTCACGAAATTCTGATATCATGAAAACAAGATTGGGCTGAACTGATCCTTTTGTCACTGCAAAAGATAACTTTTGCAAAGGAAGAGAGTTAAAAGTGGCGTTCCTTCTAGCTTTGGATATCAGGGCAATCTCAATTTCAAGTTGCCAGAGAATGAAAACAAAGACCCATGCTTACATAAAAGTATTGTCACTGGAAAGTCACAAATAAAGTAATTTTAATGTTTTAACTCAGTTTAAAAATAGTTTGGCTAGGGATTTGAGAGTGAACCCTAGCAGAAAATGTTAAATTGTTCGTAGAAGTTTAAAATGATTCTGAATCTGAAAGATTTTGTTTTCAGTAAAAGCGGAAAAAGCTCTACCTTTCAGACAGCCATTCATTGTTCCACTCTACGAATTCAGCACTGAAAAAGTGACACCCATAGTTCACCAGGAAAGCCCAAATCAATTGAGGACACACTCCCTTGAACATGTAGGCAAGCTAGACTAAACATAATAAAATCTGCTCTTAAGCCTCCTAGAATAAGTAATGTCTCTCATTTGAGCTGAAATTATGAGCAGTCTAATGGATACAACAAAATCAGCATGCTGAAAGCCTGGAGAAATAGGTCTGGGAAAAACTAGGTTTCCGTGTTAGGATTCCGAATTAGTCACTTTAACCTCACGCCAGTAAAAAACTACACGTGGCAGAAGCCGTCAAACACAGCTCATCCATTTATTCAAATAAGTTTCAGCTTCTGATGAAATCTGCCACAGAACTGATCTGTTACCACCACGCAAAAAATTCTCCTGACATTTCTAAGTGAGAGAAAGTCCCACTCTGTTACTTCTGGCCTTTCAGCTCCAGTGGGAAAAAGATGTCATCTTAAACATCTCACTTTGGGGTGATCTAGGGATTTGAAATTACTTATGAATTGCTATTGGTTATGAATTCCAGAAGTAATAGTAAAATGTCATGAAAGTGTGTGAATGCCATCAGCATGCCCTTTTCACACCCACACAACAGCGATGATGTGCAGAATGTCACGTTAAGCGACTGGCTCATAAGAAGGTCCAAAGAGAAGACAGTGCCAGGTTTTTGACGGAAATGCAGGAAATGCCCTTCACTAAACGAAGAGACAAAAGCAGAAATAACACTGGATATTGGAAATCTTTTCCAGGCGATCATCCAGGCTTTACCCATATTTTTCTATCTGACAGGTTCAGCAATATGTTTGTTTCCTTTCTTCTCTACCATCGCTCTGCAAAGGTCAGTATTTTTTATCATGTCTGCACAGAGTTCTTAGCAGTTTTGATTAACACTCAGAACATCACCTTTGCTGACCAGGAATGAAAATGGATTTCAAAACAAACACAGTATAAGAAAAAATGGAAAATTGGAATTGAAACTCAGTGAGGTTGTGCAGTCTCCATTCTCGGAGGCTTTCAAGATCTATCTGGGAACAGCCTCGAGCAACCTGGGGCTGACCCTGCTTTGATTAAGGGGCTGGAGCAGATAAACATCATGGATCCCTTCCAAATGAATTACGACAAAATGATTTTATGATTTTATGACAAAACTATGATTTACTTGTGACACAATCCTCTGCTATATACAAATAAGAAAGATGTTTGCAAATGAAGCTCTTCACAGTGCTGGTAAATTACAACACTAGTTATCACTGAGTTGGAGAGCATAAAAAATAGAAAGAAATAATGGGAAGCCCTCCATGTTTCTTCACAATGCTTCAGAATGGACCTCGGATGCCCTTAAAATTTTCCTAACAGAGTACATACAAGACAACATTTTTGGAATACGTGCCTTTAAAAAGTCTAAGATTCTAAGGGAAAATCTCTTAGGCTGCACAAATTGCCAAAAAATTATTCATAACAGTTGCTGCCAGTTTCAAGTATTATCTGAGAAATCAGATACGCATTCATTTCTGATGATTATTGTGACAAATAACAAACTTTTAGATTTTAATGTAGGAAAAAACCAAGTAAGTAGTAAGCTAAAGCGAACAGTGCACACAAGATAGACATATGAAATAAACTGAAAAAAATACATTGTGAAGCTTTCATAAATTTTCCCATGTAAACCAATCAACTATAGAAAAATAGTCCTAGTTTTTTAGCATGGACAAGGAACACAATGCTTCTTTGAAAGCATTCCTCTCCAGTCTGTCTGCTATATCCACCACGTATTTACAATAGCCTATCCTCTCTCCATTTGCTTATGCAAACAAACACACTAAGCTTGTATCCTCTCACGCTCTCTATAAAAGAACTCGTGCTTCCTTCCTCTAATATGAAATACGTCCTTATTTGCATATTGGCCAAAGTGCTTAAAACAAAATTTAATTCTGACCTTGCTAAGAAGCTGGGAATTTCATGTGTAATACCTAGAAGTATATCCAGAAATGGTCCTGGTCCTTACAGAAATGGATTTCATTTTTTATTTAAAAGTGGAAGAGGACAGGAGAAGAATCTATGCCAAAAAGAGTAGGTAGGCTTGGAAACTCCTTGTTTTGCATACAAGAGTCAAACATGCAGAATTGAAAATCAGGAAAGCATTTTCCAAGAAGAGCCAAAGAATATTTCTCATTCATCATCAGCCCTGTATCCTTCAGGATGTTCTAGCACTCCCTGCATTTGTTGCTTCTGTTATCTTCTCAATGCCTTGTAAAGCCTTCTTCTTTCCACCTTCAGAACTATTTCTTTTGTTTTATTCTCTGGAAAACCAGCAGATTGGGAAGGTGACACTGAATGGTCTTGATTACATGGTTTTCAATGACAGAAAAGCAAATTCCTGCACTCCCATCTCCCCATTCACTTTAATCAATCTTTTGATTTTCCATTAACAGGTAGAAAAAACAAAAAACCTTGCGAGTGTGAAACCCACATTCTAATAGTAGTAAATTAATGAGTCAAAGCTTTCAAATGCAATGCATTTATGCCTTCCCACACAGTGTAAGACTGCCAATAAGCATGCCAACAAGAATAACAATGTCCGTGAAAATAAAGGCATGCAGACATATTTATTGTTTTCAGTATCTCAAAAACAAACAAACAAAAGAAAGGGGCCTTATCTGGATGTCGTTCAGAAAGAGAATACTGACAGAATATGCTATAGATATGTAGTTTATATTACTACATCTAGGCACCAGTACTCTTAGTAACTACATGTGTGCAAACTCTTATCCCACAATAACTACATCTCCTTCCAGAGAGAGGTAAGTTTCTTCACTATTATTACACATATCGTGATAAAAACATTCACACAAGTAGTTACCAAGGAACTGCAAAAAATACCCAGCTTACTCCATAATAAATGTTCCTCTGGAGCAAAACACATCTTACAGAATTCATTATTAGCACTCAGAACAAAAGTGTCAGTTCTTTGCCATTGAAAAGACCATGAAAAAAATCCTCATACTTGTATGCTGAAGTGCTTTTTCAGGGACCTTCTTAAGGGGAAAAAAAGAAAAAAGTTTTCTCTTGCAAAAAAGTTCACAGAACATAAGAACATCAAACATCTTCTTTGAAAGCACGATTTGTTAAGATTTTGATATGTTTCTTATTCTCCTATTTCTTTTTTTCTTTTCAATTAACATGTCAAAATGCATATTTCTGTGAATCCTTTTGCCTTGAGAGGAAAGTTGTATCTTGCAGAAAAATGAAAGCATATGATATTGGGGATTTGACTACTCATGTATCTGCACTAACTAACATTTAATGTTGGACATTAAGTCCATCCTATACAGTTTATCAGTGACATATTACAAAGACTGTTGTACAAATGGCCTTAAACTCTACTGGTAAATGGATAAAGATCCCGTAAAAAATGGTTGCTGGGATGAATGCTAACAGGAATATTCTTCCAGAGAATTCTGCTTCTTGTGTACCTGGTGCATGGGTAGCCCCAGACCTCTGCAACACCCTCACACACCACAGGCCTGAAAAGTCACTATAATAACTGCATTCTGCATTTCTGTTTCTCATTGATATTTCTCTTTGTGAGATGCTTATCTTCATCACGGAAGACACACACACAAGATATTACCATAGTGCACTTCACCCATCTGCTTAAAACAAATGGACCCGCTCATTATGTTGAAGGGAAGAAGATGGGGAAGGAAGAAACAGGAGGCTCTGGGGGAGAAAAGGGGAAAAAATGCTCTCTGGCCAATGGTTATGAACACAACAGCAAAGGAGGAGTGCTATTTTCACACACTTTTGTATTATTACCTGAGGACTTTCATTAAAATGCAGTACTTACATTAAGCAGTAAGTTTGCTCTAGGGTCTATGAAAGGTGCACAGATATAACTTTAATCCATGTTTGGAAAAAAAAGTAAAGCAAAGAAGCCTGTAATTTCTTACAAGACTGTATCAAATGATCAGACCAGTCAGCCAATATTTTATTAATACTTGAGGAAAACTTCCATTTGGAACAACAGAGCTGCCCAGTATCCTCATGAAAAAAATCCCACTTTGCAAAACAGTAGAAATCTGCAGCAAAAAAATACAATGAGTTTATTAAGGCTTGATTATTTCATAAGTTCTCTGAGGTAAACATATTATTTCCAAATAAAGAAAAAATAAGCCTTTGTTTTTACTTAGCAGTGTGTATTAAACTTCAGAAAATCACAGTGATGTCTGTTGCATGTAATCTAATAAAATTTCAGAGCGTTCACCACACAAACTCAGATAAAAAAGGTAGCAGATATCCCTGGGTTTACATCAATTTGACTGTTGACATCAATTAAACGTAGAGATTTTTCTCTATATATAATTACCTCTCAGATAGTTAAAGAGCTTTTCATAGCCATAAAAATAGCATATGAGATTAACAGGTTCTGATGTTCATTTCAACACTTTATTAATATTTCAATGAGCATTAGACTGTTTTGTTGTGACTGACTGGATATTAAATCACAATTTACAAACCAGGTCATTTATAGCAATGCTATCATGAGTCAATTTCTCCAATGTTCTGCTAAACTTTTTTATTATTCTGGATTTCTGCAATGGAAATGCTTTTATCCCAAACACATTAGTGGGTGAATCATTTCCTCCATCAGCATAGAGCAGACTTGATGCTTAGAAATTCAGTCAGTTAGCACACAGGGAATTTTATCAATTGTGTTTTCACATGAAACAGGACCAATAGCACTCTGCCATTAGCATCAGTAACTAGATGACACATGTTCCAAAGGTCGCTCTTGGTTCTTTTATTTATATTATTATCTTAATCTTATTTCTAACATCAGTAACACATGCTTTCTCTGAAAGAAAACAATTAATCAATTCCAAACTAATGTCTCATACATTCCGAAATCTGTTTTATTCTGCTATAGCTTTCTATCCATTAGTGACTCACATCCAAAGTAAAGCAAGTGAAACCAAATCCACAAAGCAGGAAGTTATCATCAATAAGGATATTAAACAAGTATCTTTAATTTCAAGCTGCAACCGTACTACAAAGTAATGTGAACTAGGAGATGCGAAAGCTTCCCCCACTGTGTCAATCTCACACTAAAAAATGTTACCGAAAGAGTAAGTCATGATTTGAAAAGTGGCATTGTAAAGTATCTAGATGTAAACACTTCACTATCTTTGCAACAACCACAAAAATTGGAGATTTGACGATAGAGAGAGAAAAACGGGTATTAAAGTTGTGGCCAAATTTACACAAAGACTGCACGAACTACTGTGATATTTCAAACACTTTCTAAATTATACTGTTATTTTGGAACATCTAAGTTAGGAAATATTAAATCTTTTATTTTGTTCTTCCTCAAAAGAATGGATTATTTTTATGGGAATTCACTTCTTCAGAACATAAATTAGGCTTTAGCAATGTCAGACTATTGGACTCAATACAGCATGATTAGATGAAATGGATAATTGAGATAAATACAGTTGATTTAGGTGGTCTGCTTCTCTCTCCTGATTGCAAATGGTCACGACAATCAAGATCTCTCTACATTAAGGGTCTCTTGCTCAGGGTTTAAGTGATGCTTAGGGAGAAATGCCTTCTGAACTGGTGGGCACAGATGTGCCCCACAGGCAAACACCATCTGGTAACACAGAATTAGTGGCTATTTGATTTCAAGATATTGACAGGATTTTCTGACATGCACCTGGCCTTACTGGAATGAATCACTGTTTATTCTAAAAAGAAAATTATTGCCCATGCTCCAAATCTCCTCCATTTTTACCAGAAGACAAGACTCTAGAGTGTAAATGAATTTTAAAACATTCAGAATGCTGCAAATCTTAAACATTCAGGACATATTCCTGCCACAAACACACTGCCACCTCCAATACAGAATTAGTCCCCCTGTACCGAAATTTGTAGACAGTAAGACCTAGCAGTGAAATGAGATGTTGTAGATTCAAGAAAGATTAAGTATCTTATTAATGATACTGAGTTTGGGTAAAATATCTATATATCTAAAATCCCATAGATAATTATTTTTCTTCTAAAGCTGTGGCGAATTTGTGCTAAATTGCTTGCCTACATAAAGGAAGAAAGTGAAATTACCAGATCACTATATTAAGTTCTTCCAGCAATCAAAATCATACAATACTTTAAGATACTAATGCTAAAAACATTCCTACAGAAATGTTCAAGGAAAGTCTGTAGAAACAAAAGATGCTGATAATTGTGCCAGAAGTGGTCAGGTTTTGAGCTTCCTTTCTTATCTTACTGTCTTGAAAACAGCCAGGAATGATGCCAAAACACTACAAAACAGTCATGAGTAAGAGCCTCTCCCTGTATCAAAAACTGAATCATCTACAATGATCTGCTGCTGCAACAACGAAGAACATCGTACATGGACCATGACAAACCCAGAGGTCCAAACAGCAAGACTAATGGGCATGTGTGCAAGGGAAGGTGTTTCACTCTTAGGATCTGCAAAATGAACGGCAGTCTTCAACACCAAACCACAGACAGCCATTCCTACACATTCCTGCTCTTCACTTCCAAACACAGCCTGGGAAATTATTACCAGACACGTAATTCTTCGGAAGCTGAGCAGATGAAACTGTTCAGCCCATCCAGTTTTTGGGATACCGGAGTAAAACATGGAGCTGAAGTCTTTTTCCCAGAAGATAAGAAGTTAGGGATCACAGCTGTGCATGTACTGTGATTTAGAACAAAGCCTTTTTTGATTTTTTTAAAGATATCATATCAGTAATACAACATCCTGCTGCTCTTCTGAAACAAGCTGCTGGAATGCTAGATTTCAAGATTACTGTTAATTGACAAGTTGCAGTTACAGTTGTACATGTTGTGTATGCTCTCTTCTCAAAATATTGCATCTTCTTCTTAATTCCATAAAACCCTTCAAAAGCTTCAAGATACAACACTAAAGATATTTGTTAAATTAGCTGCATTCTATATTGATTAAAACAAAAGCACCAGACTCCTCTTTTTTTAGTGTTGCTGAAAAACAAAATCACTACCTTCAACATAGAATAGAAAGCAACTGCAGAGTAACACTGGACTGTTACTGCATAGATCACATTATTTGACATGGATTCTTAGGTTAAAACTGCATAGTTCGACTGCAACCAGTCGGTCCACTTCCAGCCTTAAAAAAAATGCATGGATTTAAGGGAAAGTAAAGTTAAAATGGCATTTTTCTTTTTCTTGTGCTGTGCTCCTATGTAGTTGACACAAATTATTAGAACTGATCAAAAAAATTTAAGGGAAGTTGTGCTAGCAAAATGCCATATAGAGACAACAACTCTCGGCATGTCCAGCACCTAGACTCACTGTGGAAGTGGCTGGAGACCAAGGTTAAATTTGAAGGACAAGAAAGGAATCTGCATCCTGGGCACAGGATGAATTGTTCTTGCAGGATTGTAGTAGAATGCAATTCCTTTCTTGTCCTACAAATTTAACCAATTAATTCTCTGCTAAATTAAGCAGGACATTTCTACCCAAGAGTAGACAGCTACATACTCAGATTCCTACAGATGAAGTTACAGACTGGTTGGTTGATCTGCTGCAGATAAATGATCTTTGTTTCTGAAAGAGAAGCCTGTAGGCTAGTGCTAACTTTCACTTTTATGGCCTGCTTGATCCCACTCAGATGTTTAACACATGTTTAGAAGGAAATGGAAGGCACAGGCTATGATTTATGGGTGCCTAAATGCTGCAGCCAGAGCAGCATGGGTACAAGCAGGGCATGAATTCCCCTCTCTTCCATCCTTACTGCTCATCTCACTCTACCTTCCCAAAGAAGAAAGAAGCCTTTAAAAGCCTTAAATTTTTATGGCGTATTTTCATAATTAACATTTTTACCCAGTCAAAAAAGTGAATTCTCTGTCTGCAATTTTTTGATTTACAGTATTTTTTTTTTTGTATTTTTATACACATACACATATATATACACACAGGCACACACACTCACATGTGCATAAAACTGAGACTAGAGTTTACACTCATACATAGCAAACAACAAAAGGTTGACTTATGCTCCATGGCCTTACCTGGAAACAGGTCAGTTTCTCAAGGCTAGACACTATTTGGCATAACACAGTATAACAAACATGTAGAAGAAGGTACCAATAAGCACTCCTTATGGCCCTGGGGAAAAATATCCTACCAATAACTTGCACCTTAAAGCAGGAGACAACGTTGCATTTGATACCAACAGACTGATCATTCAATCTGACCAGACTTTACTTGGACCTATCAGTTATACTCCAGCAGTCAATAAGCTACTGAATTGGCTGATGGACCTTTTTATTTTATTTTTTCCTGCAGAAAAAAAAAAAAAAAAAGGAAAACATTCTGTTTCGTCAGGTTACAGCTAAGCAGAATTGAAAATTTGGGATTCTGTTATAGTACTTTACCTATTTCATAAAAAGTAGCTATAAAAACAATTCTCCAAAGAAAAGGGCTGAACAGGCCTATACAGGTTAAACCAATTAATATTCCATCCACTCTTAGGAAGAATGCCAATCATGCTGAAACTAGCTGAAATTTTCAAATATTTGTTTGTAAAAGTAGAGAAGAGAATTAAGAGAAATTTCTTTTGCTTTGGGATTCCAAACTAACACTGCCTGTAGAAATTAAGACCTTCCTAAATTAGCAAGATATCATAGAGAATGCAAAACAAGGATTAAAGAAAAACTTACCTAGCTGAATACTTAATTACTAGTTATTAATTATTTAAACACTTAATTGTTTGGATAATTAAAACTAAATCTCAAAATAATCTAATGCCAATTACCTCTTTAATTTTGATGTGAGAGTCTGTAAAGGACAATACCAAATTGTAGCCTCAAAAGAAATAACTTGATGCAATTCAGTATTGAACTACGCTACTCAGATAAATAAATTTTAAAAACAAGTCATTTTTAGGTTACTTTGGTATTGTTTTGCTAAAGCAAGATACTAAAAGTGTAAAAATTATTTTCCCAGGGATATAGACAAAAAACTATAACAAGGCAGGATTTTAAAAGTTCCTGGGATTTGGTAGAAAAATCAGATGAGTCTAAAAATTGTATTTGCTATGGGAGTGCAATTTGGAATGCATGTATGTACAGGTGTGACATTCAGATACAGCATCAACCATATACATGCAGCTTGTCAGCTCCTGATATTTTGTAACATGTGCAAGCCTTTAAATAGGCTGTGAAATTTTAAATCTAATTGCCTCTGTTTTCAACAGAATATAAAATGGGAATAATTATACCAGCCTCCTCTGGAAGTCACCAGGCCTAGTGACATAGGTTGCTACATAAGAACTGGCTATAATTCTCATACAGAAAGCAACATCTTGCTGATAGATACACAATTTCACAATGAATTGTGCCCACAAGGCAGGCTACTTAGAACAAAAAATGACATTGCGGCAGCTGTAAAAACAGACCACTTCTACTAAATGTTATGTTTCTATAACAGAAGGACTTTTTCTCAGCATGACAACATGCAAAGTATTTATCCTGTGATGTCCAGGTGTATGTTGCACTACTCCACAATTTATGAGGATTAGCAGATCTGCAAGACAATTTCTGACTGAGAAGCAGTAACTCATAGATTGCATGCAGGAATCATTACATTTACCAAGTATTACATGTTATGAAGTTGTCTTACTTGTTATCTGCAGTCACTTTCTTCAAAAAACAGATCTGTGCCTGTTTTGTAAAAAAACTTAAGCCCACTATGAAAGTTTGCACAGCAAAAAGGATGGTTGGAATGGGACAGGGAGGCAAATGAGGTTGCACAAATTATGATCATTGTAAGAAAATGTAATATTTACATAGCCAACCACAGAGGTGTAAGATGGCACATATAAAAGTAAATTTCACCAAGAGAGCAGCATGACAAGAAAGAGAAGATAAAAATGCAAAAGGTACTTACCAGCTTGTGATTTGAATTGGAGCAAGGCACTGTTGTATCCCAGCGTAATTAACACAGACTCCTTTCCCAAACGACAGTATTCAGTGTCTCTGTTAATCAAGCATTTAAACACACAGACTCCATCAGCTGAAGGGAAAAAAAATACTTTAGTAGAAGTTAGAAACAAAACCACAAACAGAACTAGATGTTTCTCTTGACTAACAATAAATAGCCTGAGCTTCCATTTGAAGCACAAAATTCAGGGGAAATACCCCTATATTCTCTACTATGTTGTTTCTTAAGTTGATTTTCCATAGTGTCCCACAGTTTTCTAAAATCTACCCCACTTATCATGTTTACACCACAGTTCTCTTATCCTCAACCTAGATCCTGATGAGGTTTTAAATGCACATTTTTTCTGCTTCTTTTGCTGGTGAAATCCTACATATCATGTCCCAATAACCTCCAGGGATGCTGCTCTGGCACATGGCACCGGCACATGGAGAAGAAAGAGTCAGTGATCAATTCTATCACGTAAAACAGCTTTTTCCAGTGAGGCACACTGTATCCTCCTGACATTAATAAGCTGATCCCAAGACAAAACGATGCAGGTTTCCTTGGATGAAGAAGAACACGCAGCTATGTGAGAGAGAGCAAGAGGGGCAGCAGTGGGCAAACCTTCACACTGTGCTCCTTGTGAAAGGGGATCCAGTATCAAAGGTTTATGCAGGGTAATAAATCAGCATGTGCTGTCTCATTATCAGCCTTGCAGCTGTCAGGAGACAACTGCCTGAGCAAACTGAACAGAATCCACATTCGCACTACCAGAAACCTGAAATAGGTTGGGGAACTTTGTGCTTATGGCTGCTATGGACATGGGCTACAACATGCAAAGACTTCAAGTAATGTCCTATTTGCATTGCACATATCTTGACCACCATAAGGATTCCATTTCCTTGCATGGTTCTTTGAATCATTTTAGTCCACTAATAAGTGCTTCATGCAGCTTTCCCATGCACATTTTATCTTTGTGAGTAGAAGTGAAGAAAAGGAAAACAAACAGAGAAAAAAAAAAGGCAAAATGCTTAAGGAATAAAGAGAGACAGAAAGAGAACTAAGAACAAAAGTACAAAAATTGACAGTAGCAAAGAAAAAGGACATACACCAATATGCTATAGAACATCAAAAAGCAAAGCTGAAGAGAATCCAGAAGAGGTAAGCTGAAAAGCAAGAGGCAATAAACAAATTATTAATATAAAATGTCAGTAGAGAAGTTCAGTAGAAATTTAATGGTACATTGTTGAGATGTGTTACTTTGCTAATAGTGTTCAAAGGAGCACAGGGAGAAAGGAGAAGGCATGCACAGACACATATCATATAGCTAATATAGTGCATTTTTTAAGCCTTACACTTCACTGCATCAGCTGTGATGAGGAGTGAACTGAGAAAAAGGCACTGTAAGATACTGTCTATCTCAAGCAAGGCTTAAGCATACAAAAAAAAAGGTTGCTAAGTAAGACGTATCACATCTGAGCTCGCTCACTTTTCTGTCTGCACATTCATTGGTATATGTAGCCTTTTCTGTAATTTATGCTTGTGAAATACTGTAATTTATGCTTGTGAAATAATTAAAGGCACGCTAGCATTTTATTTCTCCTAGAGCAAGTCTAAAGTGGCTACATAGCCATCCCGTTTTCCACAGCTTAAGGGTTCTTTCCATACATAGTATTAACGATAACTTCTAAGTAAGTTTCAACCCACGTTTTGTTACCTAAGCACTGTCTGCACCCTTGATTCACAGACCTGAGACTTGGGAAATGACAGTTTCTCTATCAAGAAAGCATTTCATATTCATACACTTAAAAGTTAAATTTATACATCAGTTGATTCATCATGCAACTCTCTCTCAATGTTCAAACTTCCCTCCTGTATCAAGCTTATCACAGTAATCAACAGCAGGACTAAACAAAAAAACAGGGGGAAGGAGGACTTCATTAACCCCACCACTTTCCAAAATACTTGGACAAATACCTGAGTGCACCTGCCATTCCCAACAGCTTTGTCTTTCTGTGTTCCAAAGCTTAACACCCTCACCAAAACCTTTTTCTTTTTAACTCTCTAGTTAGAGTTTCCCCTGCTATAATCTATCTATAGCCAATGTCTCTTTTAACAGCTGACATTTGGACCCCACCACACTTACTTATCCTTCTATTCACTCAGCTGAACAAAACCAGCTCCCTCAGCCTCTTCTTAAGCACCATATCCTGCAGTCCCACAGCTGTATGGGATTGCTGGAATTTGCCAGAGCATTTCATGGATCTGCAAAGATCAGCACTTGGACTTCTTGGGTTCCAGGTCAGGCCTGTGTCTTTCCACATTTCCCAAAACGCAATGTTTGTATCCACCAACAGCCACATGAACTTTCAGAGAGGTACATATACTGCAGGAGCTATTTCAAATGACTAGTACTGAGTAAACACTAAATTGGACCTGTGAAAGTGAAATGCTATCTGTGCAAACAACACAGAAGTGAATCAACCCAGTTGCAGTTCATACTGTCTTCATATGCATACACGAACACACACACTTTGCCTTTTCATCTGCATACGTCTCTTCGTTCATACTGTTTTGAGTGATGGTGGGCGATTTCTAAATAAGCTTAACTAGAAGAACTTCCTAAAATTATTTTTCCCGCTATCCTAAAATTACTTTCCCAGCTACCAGAATCACCCTTTCAAGGCTTCAGAGAGCCCCTCGAGACTACTGATCACAGAATAACTCAGGATGGAAGAACCACCCCTGTTTTCTGAACATCCCATCCCCAGGACCTTATCTGCAAGGCTGTTATCCCATGCTCAGACTGTACACCATAGCCAGAGATACCTGCTACCAAGGTCTGCTTCATGCATCAAGTTCCCATAACAAGCCAAGGATAAGCCTAACAGGCCAGGACTGTGTCCTTGCACTGTAAGCAGAAGGACTGTGGCCTGTTAATAGCAATGGTAATATTAATATTTACTGAGCCATCGGGTATAAAAGTGCTTATACAGATTAATGTCAGGCTCTGCCAGAGCTTCCATATAAAAGGCAATAGGATAAACCCACGTACTATTGAGAAACAGCTTCTAGGAGGAACACTACCCGTTACCCACTCATCTTTAAGCCTGATAAAGCTGCCAGGATTGCACATACCTATCAACCCAGGTATGCATAACATCTCAACCCGAACTCAAGTACCATGCAGAAAGCTCTCAAAAGCCTTTCTGAATTTGAGACAATATTTCCTGCTATCTCCCCACACCCCTCTAGTCATATCTTTATAGGAAGAACACAAATAGGCCTAGGATAATTTATCTTGATATAATCATGACAGCTATTCCTACCTTCTTGTCCTATTTATTTGGAAACGGTTTCAAAGAAAATTTGTCTTTCTGTTTTCCCAAAGCAAGGGCTGAAGGTCCAGGGACCTTTCTTGTTCTTTTCAAGGACAGATGCAACATTCGCCTCTATCCCTTCTTCAGGAATCTCCCTCAATCTCAGTAGCCTCTTGAAGGTGAGATAGATGCTTCACAATGACACAAGACACCCCTCTCAACACCCCCAGTGAGTCCCATGAATTTCTGGGGTGAAAAGTTATTAAAAGATCTCTTTCTTCTTCAAGGTAGTCCCTCTTGTCCTTGTACCATTCCCAGGCTCTGACGCCTGGCAAGCCTTGTTGATGAAGACCGAGGTAAAGCAGGTATTAAGTACACCTGCATATCTGTGTCATCTATCACCAAATCAGCACCCCACTGAGCAGGAGGCTGAAACTTTTCTTTTTGTCTTTTTATTTATTATTTTCAAGTCTAGCTGAGTTCTGGCTTTTCTAATACCTTCAAGCTGGAGCAAGGCTTCCAGGTATCTCCTTTGCACGCTGTCCCTGCTGCTCCTGCACATGTTGCTTTGGCACCAGAGCTCAGTCATAATTAGCAATTACTCCCTGTTTAGTCAAAGCGGTCTCCTGTTTCTTCCTCATTCTCTTGAGCATCAGCACATGGATGATGTAGTCCTTAGAGACCTGTCAGTTCTATTGAACTTGTTTATACTTCCAGTTTGGCTTGCATGCGGAACCTACTGGTTCTCCAGTTGGTCAAAGCCTGCACTCCTGAAGTTCACATACTCAGCTACTCTCCTTCCTCTCTTCCCTCAAGATCTTGAATTCCAAAATTTCAAGATTGCTGCAAACAAAGCTGTCATTATCATTATTCTTTCAAAAGAATTATTATTGTTTTACATTATTCTTTCAAAACCTGAAAACATAAGCTTGATCTAGGACTGCTGTTACATAGGCTATAACCAGGCTGGAATTTGCCTGGTTATAGTCAGTTCTTAATATATACACCTAGATAACTAAGAGAACCTGGATCTTGACTTTCACTAATAAAATGCCGTAATTTACCTGGAATTGATTTCCGCATGTTTGATACTTTGTATGAAGAATAAGGATAAACCTTACTTCATGTGTAAGTTCCAAATATGGGAAAAGATTGATGTTTTGAAAACTTGACAGAAAACTGTGTTGGACTGAGTTGTGCCTGATAACGTTCCCTATGTATATAACAAAATGTTCAAAATGTCTTTGCTTGTCTTGTATGCTTATCTTTGGAATGTATTTTACAGTCAGGCTACATAACAACTGCAACTTTATTATGGGAGAAGTCTATATATTTCTATTTAACTCTTAATTTGGAGTATTTTTTATTTTTGTGTTAAACAGTTCAACCTTTTCATCAGATTGCACACTTATTAGAACAACTGTTCACAGCACCTAAATAAATACTTATTCTAAGACAGTATGACAACAATTCACTCTGAAATAATAACCATAAAGATAATGTACATTTCAACAGCCAGCCTTCCCAAATCAACACGACTATTCCCATGTTTTGGGAAAAGAAGCAGTAATTCATCAACTTCATGAATCCTATCTATGTGTTATACAAAAGTGCATCCCAAATTAATTCACATAAATAAAAAATATAATTTGCTGTAGTGACAACTGACCACCATCCTTTGAAACACAAAAAACATTTTATCCCACGATGGGTATTAATTTATATCCAAGAGAGTCAGGCTGAGCAGTTGCAATTGAAAGATTTCGCCTATTGAGGGCAAAGTGATGATATCCAGCCAAGCCCAGGGAAAATACCATTTTCAAAAAGAGGTTCAAAAGTTTAGCAAGAGCCTTGACACTGCTGCTTGCTAATGTCTGAGATCAATAATCATTGCATGAGATCTGAAATTACATAATGGTAAACATGGGAGTCTCCATAAAAGAATGCACACAATCCTGAAGCCCACACAGTCTGGGCTAGAACCCTATTCCAGTAAAGTAAACCTAGGAACACATTATCTTCTGGTCCCTGAGATGTGTCCCTGGAATATTTGTTGACAAAACAACAACAGCAAGCAACCAGACTCCTCAAATCAAAACTTTTGGGGGTTGATCTGAACAGCGATCCACTAAAATCATACCAAATTGGTCATATCATGGGAGCATGAATTAACTCAGCTTTTGCTGGTTGCCTTGTCAGTACTGCCAAAGAGGTAAAAACATGAACAATGAAGCAATCTATTTTCTTGGAAAGGTGAGGGTATGCCAGGTACTGCAAATCAGGAACATAACTTGACAGCAATATGAACTAAATTTACTGATCAGCAGACACACTGTTTAACCAATATTTAAAAAGTCAGTTTGTATTATATGTCATCTCTTAAAGAATTGGAAATTTGGGGAACACTGAAAGGGATTTCAGTATTTTGAAGTGAAATTCACGGCTGGCCTTGGTAGATAGCCACCATTCCCGTGGAAGTTCAGCTATGCTCCTGCAAGGCAGTATCCGTCAAACCAGGTACGACACCAAGAACAACTGTCACTTTCCAAGGTCCACAGGAAAATTCTGCAGCAGAACAAAGCACAGACCTTATGTTTACTGAAAGAAAGGTATTTACACCATATCTACCTTAGCTTACTTTAGGCACTCCCTCTGTTTTTTTGCTTATGAGTTAGTCTGTGGAGAGGATCCTAAACTTTCCCCAGGAACGGTCTTCTGCAGAGAGCCTCAGTGAGCACTCGTTACACACCCTCTCACTCCAAAAACATTTGGAAAACCAACTGAGTGACACTAAGCTACTGAAAAGTGTATGGTGAAGAAACAAACTCAAAAAACTATCAGGAAAAAGTACTGGTTCCCTCAGGATCTAATACCAGACACACAACAGATGCAGCATTTGCTCATATCACACATCCTTTCAAGGACTAGGAAAATATATTTTGAATAATGTGCTGAAGAATTACAGCCTAGCCTCTTCTGTAGAAAAATACCTGCAGGCAGAACATCTTGTTACAGTTACCAAAGCAGACAACCATCATGCTGTGTGACTACACTGCTTAAGTATTATAGACGTGTCTGAACTAATCCTGTTTGAGGCAGACTGGAGGAAAAGGTACCTCACCTTCCAAATGCTATAGGGGTGTTAGCAATCACTAGCGATTACTGAAGGGATACCCCAGCTCATAGCTGTAAGAGAATTGGTTCAACAAGTAAGCTGAACAAAAGCACATGTGGAGGCTCCACAGACTCAACACAGGCAAATGATCTGCTGAAGTTCCCGTAAACAGAATCTTCATAATGTGAACACAACAGAAACCAGACTGGAGTGTCACAGATGGCCGTATACTAATTAAATAGAGAATTTTAACCCTTAGAAAACAAAATGAAACAAAGTCCCCAAATGACTATGCTTTAGATTTGCGCAAAAGAGAACTTCAGCACTGACCAAAAACATGAAATAATTATATGACCCCATGGTCATTATGAATATTCTGATGAATATCTCATAAATCTAAAGCAAGTATGACTGTGCTCATCAATTCCCATCAGGAGCCAAGTGATTTTCTGATAGCCAGAAAATCTTCTGAATCCAGTCACCCTTTCTTCTTGATTATCTTTTCCTTCCACCTAATAAAAGTCACTGGAAACTTCTGATACCAAAAACATCAAAAGTTTGGAAGACCGAGCAAAAAAAACTTATTTGCCAAAAGAAGTATTAAATCTCAGTATTAAAGGTGGAACAAAATTGCTGCTTTCAGTGATATCCAGTTGCCCTATAGAGAAACACTGCATTTTCTGTTTATTGCCAAATGAGAAAACAATACTATTTTTCATAATTTCTCTACTCATCTATCCACAAATACACACATGCCACAGCAATGGTCCCATTATATGCATTAAAAAAAAATCCTTGTTTTTTTCAACTTTCATTTGCTTTTAAAAACCTGGAGTAGCAGGAGATAGGGAGAGGCGGAGAAAATGCAGTGCTGAAAGCAAAATTATACAGAAAACAAAGTTGGAGACTCCTACATGTTCTCGGTACAAACTTCTTGCATATTATTAATTATATAATTTTTGCATGTTATATGCATTTTAGAAAAATATTGCATTCCACTATCCCAATCTTCAAGCTGGACTCAGTGGCATTAAGACAGTTAATACTGCAAATTTATAGAGTATCTGGTCTCATCTGGTCATTTTCATCAAGCTAAGTGGTTTTGTCAAAACAAAAAGAAAAACCTTGTACCATTACTTTTCCAAGTGAAATTATGGGATGAATGGCTGTGTATATTTTAAAATAAATACAAAAACATACCTGTCCTTTTAACTTCAAAATTTATTAATCTTGAATTGCTATTCATAATAGTATTAGGTAAACAATTTATGTATTAATCAAATTCTAAGGATTTGTTAACAGAATGGAATATGGCTTATGCACACTTTGACTTCTCACTTAAATCTTCCTACAATCTTCATTTGAAACTGATAATGAGGAGTGAATTTAATGAATGCTTCAGTGCAAGTTCTCTTCACTCACTGTCTTCTGTCGTATATCAGTTTCTAACTGCATTTAATATTTTATGGTTATGTCCTAAATCTAGAGAAGTCACTCGCCTCCCAGCATGGAAAGCTCCACACTTTTGCTGGTGCTCCTGTGGACATGGCTCATGCATTTTTTGAGCTGCAGGGACAGGAGGGCAAGCACCCAGAAGATGAGATCTTGCTTCTTGCTAGCCCATAAACTGCATAGTACAGCACAGGCACAGTGAAAAATACAGTCACCATATACAGAGCTGCAGAGAAGTTCCTTCAGCTTGACAGACAAGCAGCATAATGCTCTGCATGAACAACATGGAATGATAGATATACATCAATCTTTGTATTTCAGTGCCAAGGCAATGAAGAGGCCAGTGTCCTGCCCTGCAGAAGTATTTGACTGACAAGGGAAAAGCTGGTGTTCTGTTTTGGTTAAAACACAAAAAGAAAATAGAGCACTTCAAATTTGGTACGCAGAATCAACAAGATTATTTCACTGTGTTGCTATTTATATCACACTGAATGCCACAGTTCACTGTAAACACCTATAATAGTCAACAACTACAAAAATTTTTGTTTTTCTATCACCAAGAGACTCAGGAACATTGCCGATAAGCACTGCTTTTCCCATCCTGCAGAGAACAGAAATCCTCTGTGACACTCTCGATGTTCCCATCCTCACATTTAAAACAGTTTCGTATCCGTTCGCTGTGGCTCCCAAGGTCTACCGACCTATAAAGCTGGTGCTCCGTTAACTCATACTACAACACCTTGTCAAGAACCATATACACAGCTAGCTTGTGAAAGGGCTCATGTTTTTATTGTCTACAGGAGAGACAAATCCACTGCAGAAAACCTCCCAGTGTGAAAAAAAAATTACAAACGAGATTCAAAAACAAACATACACTTTGAAAAGCCTAAGAAGAAACAGAGCCTAAAGAATGAGGTGAGTATCATGCCGCTGGGTGAGATGGTTCAGAAGATGTTATTTGCATTTCTGAGAAAATTACAAGTTTGAAAGCATGCCCTTACAATTGATCAGAAATCAACATACAGCTTTGTAAACATGCTTGTAACATGAGGTGTTTTAGTTCAGGTGGAGCTTTGTTCAATAAGAGCTTTACATATTAAAATGAAAACAAAAACAAAAAACAACACTATGAGAAACCCTTCATGATTTTGTCTTGCTTCACTTTCTGAATATCCCAAATATTTAAATAAGGATAGAAAATAGACAATATTGTCATCCTAGAAAGAAAACTATTTTCACCTAAGAATATGCTTGCATTGTTAGACTAAAAAAAAATAGAGTATGTAAATGTAGGTAAATCAAGAATTCATTTTCATCTCTTCTATTTTTTATATTAAAAGATGACTTTTGTTTTCTGTTAATGGAACCTAACAAGACCTTGACTTGATGCAGTCCTGAAACATGACCCAGCAAAATAGTCTTGCATTTCCCATGGCACACTTGTATTTAGCTTACCTGTCTGCAAGCTGATTTGTGAAGGTATGCATATGTGAACTAAAAACACTCAAGCAAGAAC